TTTAAATTAGACTGTTATTGATACAATATTTAATTAATTAAAAATGATTCACTGTCATCTTATATGAAATGTTTTGGAACCTACCCACAAAAGCTATTTTATTACTTATTTTGATAAAAATAATTATTATAGAATTAACACAAACTGGAGACAGTATGGCTTCATCGCAGTGTGTGCTTAAGCCAATGACATAACTTAATGAAACAAATTCTGAGTACATCCCTTCCCAGCTTCAAATTCAGACACTTTTTATTGAGTGCTTCAGTTGGTCATGGTGGAGTTTTTATAGTGTGGAAAGAGGTAAATGCTAAAAATTCTTGCCTTTTTTGCATGTTTGACCATTTTCTTGTTTTTAGAATACTAGCTTCCAAGTACAGCAACAAATATATAACCCAAAATATTATTGAAGATATTTTAATGGAATTCGATAGATAGGAAAAGTTGGAAGAGCTAGACAGACAGCTGAAGAAGAAAAGGACTATATCAATCAAGGAAGGATTATTATGAAAAAATACTGACGCTGCATGAATTTTTGTTATAATAACACCTTTCATGGACATTATTCTTTGCTGTTGATGTAAGGTAGTAAAGATAAACCGAGACCCATTTTTAAAGAAGTTCGGAGTGACAGAATCATATGAGGTATATACTGGAAGGAAATAAAACATTGGATTTTTACATTTTTTTTTAAAATTACACTTGTTTGTTTATTGTATGTGTGTATGGTGGAGAAGGGAGGCACATGCCACATGGCACATGTATTGGGGTCAGAGGACAACTTGTGGGAGTTAGCTCTTTCCTTTCACCATGTGGCTCCCACTGATTAAACTCAGGTCATTGGACTTGGCAACCAGCACCTTAACCTTCTGAGCATCTCACAAGTCTCACAAATTCTCAATTTTCATTTTGAAAAGAAAATTGTTTGTAGATGAAATTTTAGAAACTTGTTTAAACTATCATAACTCCATAGAAATAAACAAATGCTTATTGGGATGATTTTAAAGGTAGCATCGATGAAGAACATTATGATAAACTGGCACTCTTGGCACTTGGTCAACTCTTCAGCCTTTTTCAGGTCAGAAGTTTAATTTGAAAATAGACATAATTCAAACTCATTAAAGCAAAAATATTGAAGTCTTAAATTACATCTATGATTTCTTTCAAGTTTATTACTGCAGCTAAGGCCCTTTCATCTTCTTTTGGATTTAGTGGTTTTCAACCTCACTTATTTATTTAGGTGAGGAATCATCTTAAGATATGTACTTATGATAGATTATATTTATTAACTGTTGTATTTATTCTCTAAAAGTTTTGTCACTATTCTTGTGTTTCTGTGAGCATGGATCCTCTGACTGAATTTTTTTTTTGTTTAAACCACATTCATAACTTGTTATATATCATGATTTTTTATTTAATCTTAGCTCATAGGTCTTTAATAAATATTTGGTTATATTTTTGTTAGATTTATGATGCTTTTATTATATATATGCACATATATGTACACACACACGTCTTTTTGAGACAGAGTTTCCCTGTAGCCTCAGTTGAATTGGAACTCACTATGCAGACCAGTCTAGCCTCCATCTCACAAAGATCCACTTGTCTCTGCCTGCCAAGTGCTGGGATTAAAGGCATGCACCACTATGCCTGGCTTACTGTTGATATTTAAATAATGTTTTAGCATTAAACAATCTGAAGGATGAATTTAATATCGATGTATCATATCCTTTCTTCTAGCCATAAAACTATGTCTTCATTATATACCACTACCATAGAATAATAAAAATATTCATTTTAAGCCACCAAAATCAATTACATAGAGGCACCCATTCACATGGGAACCACATATATTCACCCTGTTTACAACATCATGGGTTCTAGTACACCATGGTGTGTGTGTGTGTGTGAGTGTGTGTGTGTGTGTATATGAGTGTTTTCTCTATAATTACATGCTTAATTTGAACATGGTATTTTGAGTACTTCAGCATCAACTCCTCATAGATTAGACTAAGACTTCAAAAGCACTAGAGTGGTTTATGTACAACCTTGATTTTTAATGCCTTATGTGAAACATAACTATAATGATACTAAGTGTATACCACCAGTGATTTTGTTTTATTTTAACACTAAAACTATTTTGTTAATCATTATTCAAACATATTTTTGGAGGCAGTAAGGGTGATTTTTTTTCACAGTTTTAATTTGATTCTTTCCTAAAAGAAATAACTTATGTATGAAAAGATGAATTAATAGGTAGTTGATGTCTTGTTTTGATATGTGCTTAGTTTATATAATTAAATTTCTGTTTAATGAACTCAAAGTAAGTTTAAGAATTAATGATCTCTTCTAGATTGTTGCTTTCTTTATTTTTGAATATCAAAGTATATGATTTTGTAGAGTTGATATTGTGATTCAGATGCCACATAAGTGGCAATTTGCTTGGTCGTGTACAATTTCGAAGCTCTTATTCAGGAAAGTTTTACTACTCTTAACGATTTCCGTGTCTGTTCCCCTCTTTTGTGAAAGCTTTTTCAGATTCATCAAGGTTTGATGTTCAATAAGTTACAACATACTCGGCGATATTGGCTCTGATAGTGTTGACTTTTGGGAATGCAAAACTAGTTCCAGATTCCTTCTAGTTGTTTTCTTTTTGTTTGTATATTAACAGCCTATAGACTAATGATGTAGACGTTCTGATTCTTGTAAATTAATGCAAATTTGAATGAAATTTCTGTTTTTCAAATAGCAAAAGAACTCCCAATATGCTTTTTAAGTTAATGCTGTGGCTATTTGTTTTTATTGTTGTTGTTTTGTTTTGTTCATTGTTTGTTTTTTCTATATTTTATTTATTATTTTTACTCCATGTGTATGTGTGCATCCATGTCATGCAGTGCTCATGGAGGTCAGAAGACAGCACTAGATTCCTCTGGAACTAGAGTTACAAACTGCTGCTAGCCATCATGTGGGTGCCTGAAATTGAACCCAGGCCTCTGTAAGAGCAGCCAGTACTCTTAACTACTGAGCCATCTCTCTAGCCCCAGAGGGTTTGGGGGGGCGTTCTTTTTTTAATGTGTGTGAATGTTTGCCTACATGTATGTATATGCATCACATGTGTGCCTGGTACCTGCAGAAACCAGAAGAGAGAACTGGATCCCCTGGAACTGGAGTTATAGACAGTTGTTGTCATGTAGGTGCTGGGAACTGAACTCGCGTCCTCTGTGAGAACAACCAACTCTTTGGGGCTGGAGAGATAGTTCAGCTGTTAGAGACTGGCTACTCTTGCAGAGGATCAAAGTTCAGCACCTATTAGAAAATGTTAGATCAGGATTGACCAGGTTGAGGTGAAATCGAAAGAGAAATGAGACCAACATTGACAGGAACAGATTTGTTCTTTATTAGAACAATAATGGGCAACAAATTCTCTGCAAGATTGAAACTGTGCATTGAGGAACAGTTGTTATAAAGTTTCTAAATGGGTTGAAAGGGGAAACAGAGGGTATTTTTCTGCAGTTCTGTTTCTTTATGGTCTGAAGGTTTGGGACATTAAGTGCTGGTATATATATATATTTCTCTCTCTCTCTCTCTCTCTCTCTCTCTCTCTCTCTCTCTCTCTCTCTTACATCTTTGGTCTTTTTGAGACAGGGTCTCCATATGGCCCCTGCTGGCCTGAATACCAGTTTTTGGATTGGGGCTGTCCCCACTTATCTTGGGTCTATGGCTTTCTCAAGCTGGCTTAGGGCCTTCCAAGTTGAGACATTTATCCTTCAGCTCCCAGCATCCACATGGCAATTCACAACCCTTTATAACTTCAGTTCCAAGGGTTTTGAGCCCTCTTCTGGCCTCTGCAGGTACTGCATGTGCATGGTATACATGGCTACATGCAGGTAAAAATCATACACATAAGATAAAAATAAATTTTAAACACTTTGATATAATCTTTTTCTTGAAATCCCTTATGAACAAGATAGCCATGTTGCTTAATACTGGAAGAGAATGCTATGTTTCAGAATGTTGTGAATTAGCTGAAATTGTAATTGTAAAAATTTTAG